CAAATTAATAGAGATCATAGTCTACGAGATGCGAGACACAAATACCGATTGAAGAAACAAGAAACTCAAATGGCTAGTTTTGAAAATATAACGGCACTTTATTTTGATGGTAAGAAGAGCGCCACTTGTGTGATGATAAAGAATAAGAAGACCAATAGAATTCGAGGATGATGGCGCAAGATCATTACGTCATCGTGGTTGATCCTGGCAATGAATATCTCACACATGTGACTCCCATGACTGGACACGGAAAGCAGATTGCTGAAACTATTCACGACTTTCTGATAGAGAAAAATTCTAACCCAGCAACCCACTGTATGTTTTGATAGTGGTGGAACCAATGTATATGCAGGATCAGCCATTCACCATCTTGAAATGTTACTTGGTCACACGCTCCATTATTTCCTCTGGCAGCTCTAAGGAAATGAGCTGACTTTCCTTACTGTTTTCTATCACTATGATAATAAACAAACTGTCCCTGAGTATTGGAGTAGTCCCATTGAAAAGTAAAGAAAGGAACCTTTGTCTGAGATGCCAGTTGTTGCCTTCTAGTCAGTTTCACTAATTTTCCTGTCCAGAATAAACAAGTGGAGAAAAATCTCTCCTGGGATCAGAAATACCTGTATAGGATTTGAAAAGGAGTTATTACAGGTGTTGTTGATGATGACTTGGCTGGTATTGAACCTGGTCCTCTCTGCGTGTAAAGGTGGAATACTTTATGGAGTAGAATCCTCAGGCTGTATGTAGCAACATCAAGACCCAGTCACGAGCTAAAAAAAGAATCATCATCACAATTATATAGTTCAGTGCTCCAATATTGTTCTACATCAGGATTCACCCTTACGTAACACACGGCTCAAGGAACGTATTCGATTCCTTGCTATATATGAAAAACCTAAATAGTAAGGAGAAGACGATACTGAAATAGAGTGTCTATACAAATGCATAATTCACCCACAAAGATCAACTTCTTCTTGGGATGTGTACAGATGAGGACGTTAATGTTATAGAAAAAAGCTGTCTTAATGATAGGAAAAATTAGAATCAGCAGATGGAAGAATGAAATGCCAGATCTGATGAGTAGGAAGAAGGGTTTTCTGATGCTCTTGACGATGATTTGTTAAAATACATTCATGGTTAGGGGGACAGGAAAGCGGAAGATGTGAATGCGGATATGCCTCATGTAGTCAACATGTGAAAATTGGTGACTTCCAATCTAAAGTGGAAAGCAAAAAACTATCATTGGATAAATAAACTCAAGACTGAACCTGCTTACATTGCTTCTCTATCAGATCAACAGGTTAATGACATTCTTGAGACACTATTAGTAGTGCCCAATTGACCAATCAGTACTCAGGTGGTCAAAAGAGGGATAAAAGTGATGATTGAAGCTTGCACTGAAGTGACGGGATACAAAGCGAGAGGTGGATATATTAATCAAAGTTTATTGTTTAGGAAAATATTGACCAGGTTCTACACGTAAAAAATATTCCACTATTAACTTGTAATATTTTAATATGATGTACTTCGTAAATAATACTGGAATTAAATTGATGTCACCGATGTACAATTAATTATTGGGATGCCCCTTTTGCTGACAAAAATACATTTTGTCTCCTTACAATGCAAGTTACAAAATAAAATTTCCACAATTACCTTGACAATGTACCTCAAAGGATGAAATATCCTGAGTAAGATAATATTGGTTTATATTTATTTTTTATTATTATATTTATATTTTATAAAATAAATATTTTTATAATATATATATATATATATATATATATATATATATATATATATATATATATATATATGTTGGACTCTCGCGTCGTATTCGACTTATGAGAGTCAGCAACTCAGCTCCTAGGAAGTTGTTGGTCATGTGAATTAGACCAGGAAACACTAGTATTAAAAAAGTGCTCAATACACGCATAAAAAATAATCCGATATTATATATATATATATATATATATATATATATATATATATAGTTTATGCAAACTTAGGTAATCCGTATGGGTAGACCTGAGGAGGATGATATCCAGAGAGCTGAATGTAAAATTCAGAGCAGATATGTTTGAATAAAAGACAGACCACGTTAAGATTCCATGTAATAAGCTATTTCACCATAACCCCTTTAACAGGGTTCTGGATTATCAGACTTTACTTCCAAAAGCTGAAATGAAAAATGAAAAGAAATTCACACGTTTTTTACGGACCTCATCAAGTCTACGTAAAATTAACTATATATATATATATATGTGTGTGTGTGTGTGTGTATTAATGGAGTCCCGATAGATAGCGGCTCGGATTGAGGAATCGGGGCGCCGAGTTCGAATTCCAGTCGAATGCATTGCATTCACTTGCTTTGGAAATGTATGAAGCTATGGCAAATAGTAAAACCGCCTGTGCCCTATAACCTATGGCGAAGAGACTAGGAGGATAGTCTGTGGGTCTTGTAGTATACTGTGCACCAGTATTTTATATTCGGCTCTTCTAAAAATTGTAGTTGATTCGGCATAAACACTTCATCATTATAATCAAAAGATATGTGCGTGCTTTCTGGCTGTTGGTTCTAAGAACGACAGGAGAGTTCCTTATATATATATATATATATATATATATATATATATATATATATATATAAAAAAAATTACGCCTCGAGCAAGGCGTGAAACCACTGGGATGCAGAGGGTTGCAGAAGATTTGGAGCAAGAGCAGATAGAAGAAAGGATGAGGAGAGGGATAGTGGGTAGATCAAGGTACCTGGAGGTGTCGATTGACATTACATTTGAATAGTTGGAGATTATAGCTCTCAGGGAAACAGTAATTGGGAAGGGTGTTCCACAGGCGAGAGGTGCGAGGTATGAAGCTATTGGAGTAGAAGAGACGGTGACATTTAAAAGTTTCTACAGTGTAGGGGTAGGAACGGGATGTCAGCCTCGTAGGGCGCTTGAATTCATGGAGTCTGGGAACCAGTGAAAGCAGCTCATTGGAGCAATTACCATGAAAATATATGTAGAAAAGACAGAGAGAGGCGACGGCGCGTCTGTGAGAGAGTGACTGTAGACGAGACGCCAGATCAGGGCCAATTATATTACATATCCGTCTCTGGATCTTGTCAAGAACTCCGAGGTAAACAGAAGGTGCCCCAGATCATATATGTCAGCAATACTCCATGCAAGGACGAATGGTTGATTTGTAGGTACCCCAGACCATATATATATATATATATATATATATATATATATATATATATATTTTCTCGGACATTCAGGCCGGTAAATGTTGTTAATACTGTTTATTATAAACAGAGCATTTACTTAAATATTTGTATCTATAAAAAGAACGTATAAACAGAAAATAATGTTAAAATAATTGTCATTTGTTTACGTTAAGATACGCTTCGAGCAGATATGAGCGTTCGAGAGAAATCATGGGAAATTTGTAGTTTAAAAACAGTAATTTGACTTTGTTAACCAGACGCTATCACTGCAGCTAAATGATATAGCACGTCAGATTATACGACGGTTCCGTGTAGTTATACAGGTTCGATTCCTGTCTGAGGACACATATTTTTAATGAAATTTCTCGAACATTCAGGCCGGTAAATGTCATTTATACTGTTTATTATAAACAAATCATTTGCTTAAATGTTTGTATCTACAAAAATAATCGTTAAACAGAATATATATATATATATATATATATATATATATAGATAGATAGATAGATAGATAGATAGATAGAGAGAGAGAGAGATGCGATGCATAAATTGTCGTCTAAATTACGCAAAAATTAAAATAAAATTGGGATCTCACTTTAACAGATATATTTATTAAAATTGCACAAAAGTATCTTGAAATACTAAAGAGTAAATTTATTGAATAAAATTTACATTGGCTTCAATCAAGATCACCAGACGACTTCAGAAACTTCTGAATCTCTTCTGAACGGTCTCCTTGAATTTGATGAATGTTGCCATTATCCTTGCCTTCAGTTCATATTTGTTGTTACAAGGAGTGTTGTGCCCCACACATATTAATTTTTCTGGGGAGTCAGGTGGCCACATTTAAAGGGTGATGTGGTCGCACATGGTCTGTCAGCCATGACTGGATTCTCCTGCTGGTGCAGAGTCCTGTTTCTAGACATAGGATGTTCTAACAACCACCCTCTGGACTCAGGACAGTACTAACTCTCCAAGTCGCTTGATGTAGACCCTCACCAACAAATCTGGGAGTTCTTTTCTTATCGGAACGATTAATTCGTTTTCCGAGTTGCTCTACCTTCGTAACCATCATTAGATTTATCCAACTGTTTCTTAATCCTTTGCACGGTCCTCAGATTGACCCACAAGCACATTGAAATGCTTGTATTGGAGATTCCAGGTGAGACTGCCAAACAGTACAGCATGACGTTTCCAAATTTCTGGCTAAGTGAATTGCATCATGGTGCTCTTTTTCTCACTGACAGTGCACAACTGACCCAACTATACTGTGCAGTCGACAAAATCAAAAACAAACAATGCGCATGCGCGAAATTAAAAATATAAAATGGCGACAATTTACCCATCGTATCCTGTATGTGTGAGAAAGAGAAAGATTATAAAAGTGCATTAAGTTAAGCTGCTTAATTTTACGTCATGCCAAGTGATTGAAGGTCGAATTTTTGTATGGGGGCAACTCATGAGGATGAATCTCCCTAATTATATTTAATAATCAACTAGACTTCGCAAACCGAAGCTCATCTATAGTGTCCTTCAAAGCGAATTTTGATAGCGCAAGCCACTCGCAGCTGATTTTCATTTAAGAGGGTTCTTCTGAAAACATTGGATTCTGACAGACAAAAGCTAGTTATTCACTTGATCTGTATGTAACAATCACAGTGTTATCATGCTAGCAATCATTCAATATATCTACCTCAAATCTAGTATAGCGAGCTAGTTAGATATCTCCGTCATTTCATATTTATAAATCTATTTATCTGTCAGTCTCTTCATGTATATTCTTTCTCCTCTGTTCATTATCTATCTATCTATCTGTCTGTCTGTATATATATATATATATATATATATATATATATATATATATATATATATACACGTTAGGTCTACTTATCTGACGATGTCGAATCAGCTTTTATCTATCTATCTATCTATCTATCTATCTATCTATCTATCAATCTATCTCAGTCGTTTCATTATCTATCTATCTATCAACCTATCTATCTATTTATCTATCTGTCTGTCTGTCTGTCTGTTCATATTTACCTAAATTCAGATCTATCTATCAATCTATTTATCTATCTCAGTCATTTAATTATCTATCTATCTATCTATCTATCTGTCAGTCTGCCTGTTCATATTTACCTAAATTCAGATCTATCTATCTATCTATCTATCTATCTATCTATGTAATTGCATTGTCATTTTATATCTATATATCTTGCCATCTAATTAGCTAATTAGTTCGCTAGCTAAATACGAGCTGTGCTACTCTCTTCATGCCTGTCCATTTCAATCTGTCCTATCTATCAATATATATATATATATATACTGACACACACACACACATATATATGTATATATGCGTGTGTGTGTGTGTTTGTATATATATATATATATATATATATATATATATATATATGTAGTTCAGTTCTACTTATTTGACATTCGATGTCGAATCAGCTTCTCTCTATCTATTTACCTATCTCAGTTTGTTTATGTATCAATCTCTCTATCTATCTATCTATCATAGCTAGCTTTCATGAAACACATTTAGCGTTCGTGCCCAATTAGCCCGTTGAATTTCCATTGCAGATTTTCAGGGTGTCCCCTATCTACTTGGAATAACTGTCCTACTCACTTAAAGAACAGCCCTTCAATCTACTTGTAAAATCTGCAATACCTAGTATATCTGTCTATATATGTTTATGTCTCTTGAATTTCCTCCCAATTCCATCCACCGCTCTCCACACTTTCCTCCACCTGAGCAAATGTTCGCCGGATGTAAAACTAATAAGAGAGACTCGGTAAACGAAAGAGCAGGCCTTCTTGATGGAATGGAAAACGCAGATGAGATGATAATCCGAAAATCGGCCTAGGTTGAAGTGGAGGGTCTAAGAAAATACACCATCTTTCTTTCTTTCTTTCTTTCTTTCTTTCTTTCTTTCTTTCTTTCTCTCTCTCTCTCTCTCTCTCTCTCTCTCTCTCTCTCATTCTTTCTTTCTTTATCTCTTTACATATAA